TCAGAAGGAACGTCCACCAGGGAACCAGGAACCCAAACCGGTGAGCCGGGGAAAGAACCAATCCGGGCGAGCAGATATGCCACATCTGGAACCCCAAAAGGATCAACAAGGCCAAGAACGGATGACAACGAGAGGCCGCCGCTTGCCGAAGAGCCGAACCATAGACTGCAAACAGCAAGGTCAATATGGCGACAAAAAAAACAGGGCCCAGGCAGAAGCCAACACGGAAGTGATCACCACGAGCTGATATACGAGACACAAAGCGAAAAACAGCGACAACATAACCCGCAGGAGTAGTGCAACCAGCACCAGCAGGGCAGACAGAAGCACTCGACGCAGAGTAACATATGAACTACCCAGGATGGGTACCGCACTAAGGCAAAACTGCACTGTCCGGCAAAGAAACACAAAGAAAAGGCTGTAGCCAAAACTGTAATCCTAGCTGTTCCTATCCCAACAAAAAGGAACAGTAGGGGCAGGAGTGGGCGAGTGGAACTGAACCTGTACACAGTTCAATCTAGCACCAACACTAGTATAGGCAATAAGCACGTAGTAAGACACACAAAGTGCAGTACAGAGGTAGGAAAAGCAAGGAAAACGGAATGTACACGATCAAGTAAATATACAGACACACTCCAATGTATATATTAGAGTGCAGCCAGGCACTGAACGACGGCCAAGAAAGGAGGGACCAGAAGCAATGACCGAGTCCAGGAATGAGTGTCCAGAGAGCACTGACTGAGGCAACGAACGAGTGCCCAGCAAGGAAGTAGTATCCAGAAAGCAAAGACTGAGTCAAGGAATTTGATTCCATCTGATGTCCCATGGAACCATTCCCTTCAATCAAACCTTAGCCTTGCAACAAAAGCAACAAAAGCGGCAAACCTGAAGCTCCACCACCAACAGTGCCAGACCTAGAACCCTGGAGAGGAACGTGCCAAGAAGTGACCCGGAGGTCCAGGCACCATCCAGGCACCCAGCCCCAACAGAAGCCAGACCGGAGACAACAGTCATCCGAAGAGGGCAAAGAATCCAGGGTGCAGACTGAACAAGTCCAGAAGAACCACAGTTCCACAAAGTCCCATTTTGGCATTGGAACAGGCGGGAACCCCGGAAGGATGGAGTGGATCGACCACGTCCAAACGGACCCACACCAAGATGACATGATGAAGCGCAGGGGAAGAAGCTCACCCCGCCAGCCCTGAACCCCCCAAAGGGAAAGGAACCGCCCGATGCCACCAGAGGCCGGAAAACAACCAAATAATTTCCACGAACTGTGGGACCAAGCGAGAGCCAACAGAGCAAGCTGCCCTCCTCAGCGCTTCATCAACAGCGAAGGGATCGGAGCCCCTTCCGAAAGAAAATGGATATATATAACACACACACACACACACATACATACATACATATACAGTGGCACCTCGATTAACGAGTTTAATCCGTTTGTTATGTGGAAAACTCGTCTTAAGAAACAAATTTCCCCATTTAAAATAAAGGAAATAAATTTAATCCGTTCCACCCCCAAAAATATCCATACTTGTATGACATTTTATAATCTAAATATAATACTGCACATGTAATTATAAATGTTTTGTTGTACTGTTTTCATGTTTACTTTACCTTATGAAGAGTCGTTGCTGGCTTGAGGGAGATGATGGGGAGGTGGGAAGGAGAAGAGGGGGTTATGGTGTGGAAGGAGAATCTATCTCTGAGTCAGGTGGGCTCTCTCTTCTTGGGAATTTCACCCCACTGGGACCTTGTTGTGGTTCACCATCACTGGCTCTTCTTTTCTCTACTTTTGCAAAGAACGTATCTATTGACAATTGCTTTTGTCTTTGTTTTAGGATGTTCCTAAAACAAGACGGCAAATTGTCATTAAACATGTTCACACACTGGGTTGTTACTGCTTTATCAGGGCAGCTTTTCCAAGAATGTGGTCACCTTTTCAAACATTCCCAACACTTCCATGATCTCACTGGAAGAGGCAGCATCCTCCCTTACTTCCTCATCCCCTTACTAATGGTGCAAATTGTTGATGAGGCCCTGCCATACTCCCTTGTGAGATCAGTCACACAGACACCATGCTCATGCTTTGCTATACTTTCCTTCTTCAAATCCACAGTAATTGTGTCTTTCTTCCTCTTGACAACACTATCTTTAGCAAACAGCTTCTTTGGCGACATCGTGCATTACAAATTCTTTCCCTCAGCCCCAGAAGCCTGGCATCAAGGCTACAGGGCAGAACCATAGTCCTCGCCTAACACCTGCAACAGAAAGGTGTCCTCCCAAAGAGGTTAGGAGTGGTAATGAGCGGCATTCATTCTTTACAAGAATGTAAAGATGAATGCCCAGAAACCCTGATGGGACCAGAAGGCTCAACAGCCTCTGCAATACAAGTGAATGGGACCACCCCTGGAGAGGGCTGAACTACAATCCCCAAGCTAAACTGTGACCCAACTCTGCAATCCTCAGATGCTTCAGACCCAAAACCAGGGAAAAGAAGACCAGAAGCAGGGCATACCACACTGGCAGGAGAAAGAACAGGAGATGCAGGTTTAGCCCGGATGGTCAGCAACACCTCCAATTCTGGATTCCTAAACACCAAAGGAGCCAACTCCCAGCCCACAAAGTGACAGCTGCCTGAAAAGCTACCAAACTCAAAACCAAATTACCTTGGGCAGAAACTCAGCAAAAACAAACTTCACATGACTCAGAGTCATATGTATCACTGATGCAACATGCAGCATTGCAGAGGCAGAAACACTGATCATCATCTGGTAGCAAAGATGATGGATGAACACCCTTCAAGCTTGCACTCCGTGAGCACAAGCTCCACAGGCTGATCCATAACGGAGCGCATCAGAGACCTGTGAGGGTTTAAGGAGTAGCTAACCAAGCAGAAACCTCAGGCACTGGGGAAAGGCCCCCCCCCCCACTTGCCAGAAGAACAGTCACCAAACACATCCAAAACAACCAGGCTATGAATGGCTACCAAAGTGTGCCATATAAACAAGCACATAAATCCCAGCACAACCAAAGGAATGCCCACAGTAAAGTGCCCAAACAGAGGAGTCAAAGACCTGTGAATAGTCGTCCAAGGTGAGGCTCTCCACCCATGGTGGCGTGGCCTCTTCGGGGGCAAACTCCCAAGAACATTAGAGAAGATAACGTTGTCAGTACAGAGGCAGCACTAGCAGGCCAACCTGTCCTCTTACAAATTACGTCTGAATTTGGCTGTTTGTCCGTATGGCCAAAAATGGACGTAATTTAAAAATAAAAAAATTGAAAATAAGTTGTCAATTTTTTATCTCCAAAACAGCAAGTTAAAGGTCCTCTGGTAGGTTAGGAGGGCAAGAAGTTCTAAGGTTTCAAAACATCATGAAAACCATTAACTGAAAGTTTCCTCTCCTAACGTAACCGAGTAAGCCGGAGGACTCAAACAGAAAACGGGACAGTACATCACTTTTGTGAGTCGATTTAATTTAAAATTGCATCCAATTTTAGCCACAGCGCACACACGAGTGAAGAAAGCCCTGAGCACATGCATGTGCTCAGGGAAGAAAGCCCTGAGCACATGCAGCCTGAAGCACAACAAAAGCCAAGCCCACACAACATGCTAGAGTTATATTACACACAACACTAATACTAGAGCAACGAACAATACAGAAGCAAATGGACCCCACAGGACGAACAAAGTGCAGGAGCAGCCAGCACTTAGCCTGAAGCAAGAGGACTTGTCCATGACTGGCAGACCAGGGCACTACTGCTAGAACCTTCCACCATAACATCTGCATCAGAACTGACCAAGGAAGCTGGCTGTGCACAGGGGCTGGGCTGCCTGGTGGTGGCAATCAACACTAACAGGTTCCGAGCTAGTTTGAACGAATCCCTTGTTCCATGTGAATCATTTTCTGTGAACCTTCCAGTTGTCTGCTAAGCTTCACTGACCTTCTGAACTTTTTTTTTTCTTTCCTCAGTGGGGCTGGTGGATTGCCACTTGGTCCCTGTGCCTCTGTGAGGGAAGCCAGGTTCTGGCTCAGGTCCCCAACAGGCCAAACAGAACTGGGACCCAAAGGGCCCAGAGAAAATAACTCTGAACCCCAATGGGTGTATTCACAGGGCGCTTAGGAAAGGGAACCCTAAGCGCGTGCAACCCTTGGTATGAACACCTAGCCACCTCCAAAGCACAGCAGGAACACTAGCAGTGTGAAGCCAATCAGGCAACTGAGACCAGAGCAGACTTCCACCCTGTTTAGCTTCAGCTGAAAAACTGATGGTCCCGGCTGCCGGTTCAGTGGGCTGTGACCCCCTCTCCCCCTCCTGTGGGGGGGGTCTGTGCAGTGTCATGATGTGTTGCTTGTTAGCTTGTTTTTCTTGGGGGTGGGGGGGGGGGGGAGTTTCTGACCTCTGCTCGGTCTCAGGTTGCAATTTTTTACCAAGAGGAGTCTGTTTTCAAACTCCTACCTTTCTGGGTGCTCAACCCCAGTCGATGGCAGACATGAATACTTTCATGCACGAGTTTCATAGGCCATTGCTCCCTGCACCTCTCTGAGGGGACTATGTTCTGGCTAGTGGTCCCCAGTAGGCATTATAACTCCATATGACTGAAGTCCCATACTGATATTAGCAAATATCAATCCAATAGCTCCAGGGAGCCAACAGGGCTCCCCTACAGAAAATATATTTCAACATTTTCTTATCTGCAAAGTAGTTAAAAACAGTCATTTAAAATTCCATAGACTTCCTCAGTATGGCCCAAATGAGTCCTAAGACTTTCGATACCCTTTGTTGCATGTTGCCACAGCAGGCTGGACAGGGCAGCAGATGCCCTGATAACCAGGAAATGGTGCGCAAGTGTCCCTATGCCATGCAATAGCAGTGCCAAGGAGGGGAATGCAAGGATCAAGTCAAGGTTCTGGGCTTAACTCTCAGTCATTAATCTACGAGTGGGACATTGCCCATATTCACATGGCTTACAGGTAAGTAATATTGCATATAAATATGTATCTTTTTTTTATTTCTAAATTGCATCAGCAATAATATATATATTTAAATATTTATATGGGACTAGCTTCATGAAGAACCAGCTTCAGTGTTTCGTACTAAAATTATTACCTATTTATGCTTATATAATATTTAACAAATAATCAAGGTGAACAATTATTCAATTTCTCAGTGCAAGAAACTATATTCTAAACCTTAAGTCTTGGAAAATCTTGTATAATAAGTGAAATATTTAAGCTTCTGGAGACATTCACCAACATCACTCAAAATCTAAAATAATGGCCTACTTGAGAGAATAGAGTAACTCATGGATGGAATAATGTGCCCTTTATGTTGGGGTAACAAGGTGTTTTAGTGAGTGCACCATTTGGACAGCTAAGAGGGAGCAAGGCTATTAAATGTTGGACTGCCTACATAAATGTCTACCTGAATGAAAAGCTATGCATGCTAGTCGCTTTACAAGAATGTAAGAACTCTTGTATAAATTACCTATCACATGCTGAAAACAACAGTCTAGTGACCCACATACCTGGCGACAATGCTGTATACCATACACGGCACTAATGCATTAAATAATTTGTTTACATTTATGGCTTTGCATGCCATGAAAGTTACAAACAGATTGCAACTTAAAAGTAACATCACTTTGTAACTTAACTTAAATACTATATTAGATACTATACTCCATAGAAAACTTTACACATGTCCAGACATTTAGTCATGTCTTCCAAGTTTCTGCTGGAAAACAAGAATTTAGCAGGCATGGATATTTGTCTCTTTGATTCCACTGTATTTACCTATGTATTACAATGTTTCTAAGCCAAATAAAGAATTTTACTTTTGCACGTATAGTGACATCCCCAAACTTCCAATCAAATCGTTTCAGATTTCTGAAAAGCTGGCAATTTTTGGCCATTTATTACCATGTTTACCAGGTTATTTTTATAGCAAGTGATACAATATATGCTTACGCGTATTACGATAAATATATAGTAATTTTGTGAGCATATAAATAATGAATAAGCCAGGCCCAGACTACAGTGCTGCTTAATCAATTGGGTGGTTATAAATATGAGCTGCCTCATATGGGCCAATATGCCTTCTGCAATTACCTTTATTCTTATGTTCTTAATTAACTGGTAAACAGTATTATTCAAACCTTTAAAAAGTTTTAATGTTTTTATGTCATTTCAATTTCCACCACTGCTCATTTTATTCACAAGCTATATGACTTGGTTCCTTTTTATGTTAGAAACAGCAATAGTACCAATATAGCACCAATTCCCATGTTTATGTAGCTACAAAAACTTTCAACAACTGAGGGCTAATTTAGCCTAGAGTCTTGATATGGTTGGAGTGACTGAGCATTCAAGAGAAAACAACTCAAACCCTAAGAACAAACTCAAGTCAGAAAATTCAGAGTCCTGACAAAGCTGTGGCTGCAATCTCCTACATGTGTTGCTGATCTACTTAAGTAATTATCAAAAGAAAGCACCAAGCAGGAGGCTATTTAACACTCTACCTACATAAGCATTCATGAACTGTGGGCATGATTAACTCAACCTGAGATGTAGCTAAAACTCCTGACTAATGTTTTAGTCTAGGTTCTCTTCATGAAATAACGACATCAATACACTTAGCACCCAAAATTGTAGTGACCTGAACACACACATACACTACATACGAACATAAGAATTAGGAAGCACCACAGCAGGACTGTTACCCTGTAATAACTCCACACCCTCTTACCCATATATCTGGCTAATCTATTCTTGAACTGTGTTGAATTATGTCTCAGTAATGATAGCTGGCAGCACATTCCTTTCATCTTCAACATAATTCCCAAACCCTGTTTCAGAACCTTATTTAAATTCTCCTCTGTGCACCAAAAATAGCCTAACAAGACAGGGAAAGCAAACAGAAATTATGGATCAGGCACAGGACTAGATGCCCAAAGCCATGCCATGGACAATGAGAGGACCCAGGGCCTCAACACTGACCAGCGGCACAAGTGCACCACACCAAAACATAAGCATCCCTCTCCTGACAAGTAGAAGAGGGCCAAGGAAGATGAGCACAGCCAAAGCATACTCAAAAGAGGAGAATGATCTTACCCAGCCCTTGCATGAACTAGGAATGACCAGAACAGCCCTTTTGCTTTTAAACATACAGCAAAATAAACAATGTATCATCCTAGATACAAATTCCCAAGGAAGAGCCATTATGTAAATATGCAAAGAAGAAATTTAAGATAGGCCCCAAAGTGCGTGAAAATACAGCTTGGCACTAAAGACTTCACAATCGGTCACTGCAAAGCACTAGTAAGATAATGTGTTGATGCCAGGAGTAAAAATGAGGGCAGTTGGCTACTTAACCCTATTATGGCAGGCCATCCTCCTGTTTAGTCAGTACTTAAAGTAACGATGAGGACCATAGTACATATATGATGTAACGGACAATTCCGAAAATAGAAATCCTTACTATAGTATTTGGACAAACCGGAAAAGGTTTTGTATTTATGTTGTAAAGACAACCTAAACTAACCTAACCTTATTAGGCCTAATACATGCTATCTGAGGCCTAATATAGTACACATGTGCACTTTACTAGGCCTGGGAATAATTTAGTTTTTTACTTTAGTTTTTTTGACTCTTAAAGTGAATAGTACCAAATATCTAATTGCTTTTTCCATCAATTTTTATACTATGGTGCAAATAGTTACAAAAAGTACTATCTAAACAAGAGGATGGATTGATTATGGTGACAGAGGTGCCACCTGGTGATGTAAGGTATAGCCTTTTATCTACTAACATTAGTTTACTGAGCAATAATTGGCAGTCTTGGTACAGTATGGTACTTCTGATTTTCCATGGTAAGAGTTAAGAGTCATGATTCCTAACATTATATTACGGCAAGTTAAAACTTTTGGTGGTAGCCTGAAATAGATATTACACTCTGTCTTCCTACCCTAGATATGGGTTCACTTAGGCAGAGATGTATCTAAAGTTGGAGATAATGACAGGAGCACAAGTTTTGTGAGCCTGGTGCATGATACAACTCCTGGATGGATCATATAGGAACTGACAAAAGAAGCATCCAAAGAACCTTAGCTCAGAAATATAACTATAATTACCATAAGATACAAATGTATTAATGTAAGGAACGCAAGAGTCAATATTACTAACAAGTAAATTTAATGTAAAACAACTAAAAAAGATATGAACCATAATGCCTTAACAAAAGTAACACTAAAATGTCACATTTGATAACATCAGGTATTTAGGAATAGTGGATAGTGACTGAATTGATATAATATGGATAGAGCATGTAAACCATTAGACTTAGTTGGCTAGGTCTCATAATATTTGACAGTAACAGTTGTATTGTTTTGAAAATATTCTTAATATTGTCCATACATTATGCACACTACATTACAATAGTATAGTAAATAACAAAGTAAATTCATTAAAAACAGAGATTTGAAGAGCCTCATACAGTCAAAGCAGAAACAAATTGATTACTAATAAGTTCATTTAAAAAGAAAGATTTTTTAGAAAATCTATTAAAGAACTATCGCCATGGCTTAATATGTTGATCATCACTGCCTTTTAGTTGTGATCTAGACGTATGGTGACCAGTGGATAGCATGGAGTTTGTGATGGCCGAGTCTGTACCAATGGTGGAATTAGGCAACTTGGAAGCAGCTGCCCACCAGTCGGAAGCATCGGCCATGCTGAGAGGCGGCAGCACAGTGTTTGAGAGCTGCCGAGACACTGCATCAACGACTTGTGGACATAGGGTCTGAGCAGGGTCATCAGACACTAAGGGAAATCCAAATTTATCTCTAGCAAGACGAAGACCCCCGCTGAGCATGAAGACATTGTTGTATCCACGGTGCTGCAGTGTAGCTACAACCTCAGGAGCCACGTCTTCCCCATCATCATATGCAACAATGATAAACTTGGGGTGGTTTTTGTATATCAGTAGTTCAGCACATTCCCAGCCCACAGCTCTAGACAAGCGGGAATGTGGATGGTTGACAGCAGTGGCAAGGTGAAATGCCTGATACTCGCTCTGTGAGCGAACATCAATTATAACATATGGGCACTTGGGACCTCTAGTTTTACCTGTGGTCTGGAGAAAAAGAAAAAATGTAATTTAACATGCCAATATTAAAGTACAAGTAATTTTGTTGATATTTATCAAGAACTTATTCAAGTACATAACTTCAACAAGGAGGTATTTTTTAACCAAGGTCATCTACATCAACAGAATCAAGATTGTCAATGATTTTGCTTTAACCCATAAATGAAGAAGCCGATTTGGAACTACAGTCAACTTACATACAGTATTTAACTAAATATTTAGTTAATGCTTTACCTGTTGAAAACTATTACAGTATATCCACAATAAAAATACAGTGCTGTACCGACAAATGTGTAATCACCCAAGTGAAGTTACAGGATGAGAGCTACGCTTGAGGTGTCCCATCTTCCCAGTACTCTATCGTACAACGGTTCAAAACTACTGTACTGTCGGTTTTGGCCTCCACCACCTTCTCACTTGTTCCAACTGTCTACCCCTCTGTGTGCAAAAGTGAATTTTTGAATGTTTTTCCAGCAGCCTTGTTTAATTACTTTAAATCTATGACTAAACTAAGATTAAAAAAAAGAAGAAAAGAAAACTCACTTTCACAAACAATGGTAGACGGTTGGATCAAATTAGCGAGGTGGAGATGGAGACCAAAACGGTCATATGACAGTGTGGTGTAGGTTCAAAGAGGGGGAGGAGGGGGGGGGAGAGAACTGCTAAAAGTACAAATGATAAGGCAGATCAACACTACACACTTGTGCAATGGGGATATTATGAAAATGTTATACTGATGCTAAGGGTGACATATACATCCAGGCTGGAAAAACCTCCAGCTACTTTGATTATTTTGGAAATTAAATGAAGCCCATCAAAACACTTCCTAATAATAGTGATTGCACATGCAATCACTACTGTCCGTTTAACCTGTTCAGACTTGAATTTTCCTCATGAACATATTGAGCTGTGCCTCGGGATATTTCTCAGTGTCATTTCCAATCTGTTTTTCTTTCTCATTTCCTCCAAGTTTTCTAAGTTTGGTTTTACATCATCCATTCTTCAACACCTTACACGACTTCCATCACCTGTTGTTATACCTTACTCACTCCCCTCACACTTGTTATACCTTACTCACTCCCATCACACTTGTTATACCTTACTCACTCCCATCACACTTGTTATACCTTACTCCCCTCACACTTGTTATACCTTACTCACTCCCCTCACACTTGTTATACCTTACTCACTCCCCTCACACTTGTTATACCTTACTCACTCCCCTCACACTTGTTATACCTTACTCACTCCCCTCACACTTGTTATACCTTACTCACTCCCCTCACACTTGTTATACCTTACTCACTCCCCTCACACTTGTTATACCTTACTCACTCCCCTCACACTTGTTATACCTTACTCACTCCCCTCACACTTGTTATACCTTACTCACTCCCCTCACACTTGTTATACCTTACTCACTCCCCTCACACTTGTTATACCTTACTCACTCCCCTCACACTTGTTATACCTTACTCACTCCCCTCACACTTGTTATACCTTACTCACTCCCCTCACACTTGTTATACCTTACTCACTCCCCTCACACTTGTTATACCTTACTCACTCCCCTCACACTTGTTATACCTTACTCACTCCCCTCACACTTGTTATACCTTACTCACTCCCCTCACACTTGTTATACCTTACTCACTCCCCTCACACTTATTATCCCTTACTCTCCCTCACACTTATTATCCCTTACTCTCCCTCACACTTGCTATACCTTACTCTCCCCCACACTTGTTTACTTCTCCCCCACACTTGCTATACCTTACTCCCCCACACTACCTTACCCCTCACACTTGCTATACCTTACTCTCCCTCACACTTGTTATACCTTATTCCCCCCACACTTATTATACCTTACTTCCCCCACACTTGTTATACCTTACTCCCCTCACACTTGTTATACCTTACTCCCCTCACACTTGTTATACCTTATTCCCCCCACACTTGTTATACCTTACTCTCCTCACACTTGTTATAAATAACTTACTCCCCTCACACTTGTTATAAATAACTTACTCCCCCTCACACTTGTTATAAATAACTTACTATTGTTTTAGATTCAGCTACTTGGAACAAAAAGTTGCAAACAACACTGACTATGGTGAGCCCGTAGTGGACTTACCTGGCACAGGAGCAGTGCTGCAACTGATAAATTACTCCCCTCAGCTATACAAGCCTGTCTTTTGTTTATAGGGCCTGGGAGAGCACAAGTCATAGATATTTAAAGCTGACTGAATAACACAATACTGCAATACATTTCATTCATTTGTATACTTTAGTGTTACACTTAAAAACACACCTCAAGCTGATTCATCTGATGAACTAAACATTCCACTTCATCCCTGTATTTCAGTGGTACTTCTGCCTCATTGTCATCACTTTCAGATTTGTAATCAATACATTCGTCTGCTTCAATGTTTTCTGCATGTGCCACCATCAGCTGCAACAGGTCTGTCAGAGAGATGCGTCGAAACACCTCATCATTTCTGACCTATGATGAAGGAGATCATTAGTTACTGCTGTGCAGTGCGCAGTAATCTACCCCTTTATTTTTCAAATAAGCTATTTTCCATATACAGTACAGTAAAATCAAATATGTAAAGTTAATAAACTGCCAATTCACTCAAACCAGAAAACTCTGGTCATTGAATTTCAACCAATTTTACAAATGGTATGATCCTGCATATTTTGTTGAAGTAATCCAAAACCCAAAATTTACAGTAAAATTAAAATTATATTTCACACGATACCAAACAACATTATTGCTAAAACCTTTCACTTGCTTTAATTCTTTATTCGTCGCCTATATTTCCACATTCAATAAAAAAACCAGCGTTAAATGTAACGAAACATCATTCTCTTGGTGAGACCCGGAGGCTCCCTGGAGCTTACCGGGCTGATATGTATGTATTAGACCGTGGCATCAAAGTTTGCCATAAAGTTTGAAAATAACATACATAATATTACAAATATATAGTATACATATAATATTATAAATATTAAATATATAAATATATACATATAATTTTATAAAGAGTTAAAAGGACTGACATCAACAAGTGATCCAAACAGTGAAGCACAAATACAATACAATACATCAGACAATGGAGAGGTGTGGCGAGTGTTCGGGAGTACTGTACTGGGAAAACGCAATATAGGCGTCAAGTGTTGCATCTGTAACATAAGATTTCACCTGGGCTGTACAGAGTTATCTCCAGGATGCACAAAAAGGCAAGGAATTTACTGAGTTTGCAAAAATGACAGATTAATGTTAGAGAACATAACTAAACTGATGAAAAACATTCCCGAGTCACAGAGATTATCATTCACAGACAAGCTACCAGTGATATATGCGGACTGGGAAAAGACAATATTGGATAATGACCAAAACTCAGGAACAGATAGTTTAGAGAACCGCAGCAGTAGTGAGGAGGAAGAGGGTATTGTGGTACAAAATAACAGCAATATTGCAGAGCCAGGTAATATAAACGATGAGAGCAACAGTGAGAGAGTGCATAAATGAAGGAATTGGGACAAAAAACAGAGATGGCTCCAATAAAGAGGTAGACAAGACAGACACAGGTATAAATACCTTGAAAAATGCAAAACCGGAACATATTTGCAAATTCTACGCTAAAGGAATATGCAAATATGGAAAATTAGGAGCAAAATGCAATTTTCTGCATCCTCGAAAATGCAGGAACATGTTGGCGAGAGGTACATGCCGTTTTGGAACAGGGTGTAGATACTTCCACCCTAAATTATGTCAATTTTCAATTAGGGACAAAAAATGCTACAAATCTTCAGTGTCCGGAATTCCATGCGAGAGGTACACAGGGTTATAGACGGGAAGATCAATATGACACTACTGGAAATTTTTAGAGGAAGGCAGAAACAGAGTAGTAAATATAAGAGAGAGGAACAGCCAGATGGAACCACTACAGGATTACAGAGGGGAAGGGAGATACCCACTAGACTGGAATACAAATTATCAACAAGCACACAGGTACTACACCACACAACACCTGTCCTACTACCAAAACTGGACGAATCACTTCCAAAACAACACACCCTGGACCGGGGTAGAGTGGGGGGGAGAACTACCAAAGCCCACCAAAAGTGACACGCAATGTGGGAAATCATTCATATTTGCAAACATACAAGGCTTGAAACCAAAATCAAGAAATAAAGTTAAGTTCATAAATGGCCTCCTAATAGAATCGAACTCAATATTTGGTGCATTTACAGAAACCCACACAAAAGACCACATGGATAGTGAAATCTGGATTCCAAATTATAATCTATATAGATGTGACAGAGTAATTAGGTCAAGTGGAGGAGTACAGTAGGTCTGTATATTAAAGAGGAGCTCTGGCATGCACAGAGCTCCTGAACTCATCCAATGAGGTGGTAGAGGTACTTGTATTCAAGGTAGAAAATATGAATCTAATTATTTTAGTATACAAACCGCCAGATGCAACAGTTGAGGAATTCACTGAACAGATCCACAAAATAGAGAATATCCTTGATAACCTAGCAAACTCAGTACCAGATATCATCTTCCTTGGAGACTTCAATCTACCCAGTTTAAAATGGAGAATAGTAAACAATAACATTATAGCAGGAAATCAACCTGGAAATAATCAACCACAAGTCAGAGAACTACTGAGATTCTGTGACAAATTTTCGCTCAGTCAGCAGATTACAGAACCAACTAGGTACGAAAACACGCTGGACCTGATATTCACGAACAATGAGGAGCTAATCAGAGACATTACTGTCTCAGACACTACGTACTCGGACCACAAGCTCATTGAAGTGCAAACTAACATTAATAACGGTAGTAGGCCCAAAAGAAACAACAAGCGAGAAGGGCTATTCAATAAATTCAATTTTAATAATAAGTGGATAGACTGGGAGAAAATAAACAGGGAACTTACAAACATTCAATGGGAAAATGTTCTAAGAAATAAAAATCCTACACAGGGAATAGAAAAACTGACTTCTGAAGCATATGAAGTCTGTCTGAAACCTGTTCCTTTGAGGAAAGGCAGAAAGAGGTCCAATGTAGAAAGAGAACGCAGACAACATTACAAAAGGAGGAAGAAATTAACGGAAATGCTTAAGCAGACACGACTCTCCATACAGAGAAGAAATAATTTAAACAGGGAGATTGAAGAAATCGAACACAGACTGAAGCATTCCTATCAGACTGAAGAAAGGCAACTAGAACAGAAAGCAATTCAAGAAATAAAGAAAAACCAAAAATATTTCTTCACATATGCTAAATCAAAAGCGAAAAGCACTGCCAGTATTGGACCTATTCGTATTAGTGAAGGTTCATACAATGAGGAAGACAAAGAAATTAGTGAAATCCTAAAAAAACAGTATGAAGACATGTTTAGCACTCCGATACTCAGCATGAAAGTGGAAGATTCAGACAATTTCTTTATGAATGATACTCAAACACCTGTAAATATAACTGATATCAACACGAGCGTGGCAGATTTTGAAAGAGAAATTGACAATATGCCCATGCACTCAGCCCCGGGTCCAGACTCATGGAATTCAATATTTATAAAGAAATGCAAAGTGCCAGTAGCACAGGCACTCAGTATAGTGTGGAGGAAGAGCTTGGACACAGGGGAGATACCAGATACGCTTAAAGCAGCAGACATTGCCCCTCTGCACAAGGGTGGTAGCAAAACATTGGCAAAGAATTATAGACCAGTTGCACTAACGTCCCACATAATAAATCATGCCTCTCACAGCTACTTGACCACTATGACAAAATCACCGAGGCATTAGAGGAAAAACATAATGCAGATGTCGTATACACAGATTTTGCAAAGGCATTCGACAAATGTGACCATGGAGTGATTGCACACAAAATGAGGTCAATGGGTATAACTGGTAAAGTAGGACGCTGGATACTCAATTTCCTGTCGAACAGAACACAAAGAGTAACAGTCAATCAAGTAAAACCGAGTCCGAGCGCAGTTAAAAGCTCTGTACCTCAAGGTACAGTCTGGAACAAGGTGTTCAAAGTGGTGTTCAAGGTACAAGGAACACCACTGCTGTTCCTTATTCTCATATCAGATATAGACAAAAACACAAGTCACAGCTTCGTGTCATCCTTTGCAGATGATACAAAAATCAGCATGAAAATTACCTCTGCTGAAGACATTGATAAACTACAAACAGATATTAACAAAGTTTTCGATTGGGCAGCAGAAAATAACATGATGTTTAACAGTGATAAATTCCAGGTACTCAGATACGGCAAAAATGAGGATCTTAAACATAATACAGGGTACAAAACACAATCGAATCTGCCCATAGAAGGAAAACAGCATGTCAAGGATTTGGGAATAATGATGTCCGACGACCTAACGTTTAGAGAGCATAACCAAGCAAGTATTGCGTCAGCCAGAAAAATGATAGGATGGATTACAAGAATCTTCAAGTCCAGAGATCAGATCACAATGGTTGTACTCTTCAAATCACTTGTGTTGTCCCGTCTTGAGTACTGCTCAGTACTCACTTCCCCCTTCAGAGCAGGAGAGATTGCTGAAATTGAGGGAATACAGAGAACATATACGGCACGCATAGACGAGATAAAGCACCTAAATTATTGGGATCAACTCAAAGCTCTCCAAATGTACTCACTAGAAAGGAGACGAGAGAGATACCAAATAATATACACATGGAAAATACTGGAGGGACAGGTCCCAAATCTGCACAGTCAAATAACAACGTACTGGAGTGAACGACTTGGAAGAAAATGCAGACAAGAACCAGTAAAGAGCAGAGGTGCCATAGGCACAATCAGAGAGCACTGTATGAACATCAGAGGTCCACGGTTGTTCAACGTCCTACCAGCGAGCATCAGAAATATTACAGGAACAACCGTGGACACCTTCAAGAGGAAACTAGATTGTTTCCTTCAAGGAGTGCCAGACCAACCGGACTGTGGTGGATATGTGGGCCTGCGGGCCGCTCCAAGCAACAGCCTGGTGGACCAAACTCACAAGTCAAGTCTGGCCCCGGGCCGGGCTTGGGGAGTAGAACTCCCAGAACCCCATCAACCAGGTATCAACCAGGTATCAGTCGATTGGAGTTCTTGCCTACCGCGATCACGAGCCAGAACCTGGCCCCCTCAGGGAGGCGCAAGGAACAATGGCCTATGGAAACCACCATGTATTTAGAAGCTTTCCATGTCTCATCAACCGGGGTCTGGCACCCAAAAAAGGTAGGCGTAACAAAACAAACCCCACATGGCAACAATCGCTACCAAAACCCTAACAGATAGGCAAAGCTCTGAAACTAAAACAAGCAAACAAGCTAACGTCACTAATGCCGTTGCTTCAATTTTCTGTGCAGTCCCCCCCCCTCCCCCCCGGTGCTGGCCATTACAGCATTCATTCTGACTCCCAGACTGATGCCGGGCACAGGACACACACATGCAGGAAGATGCCAGGACCACGCCGATGCGAAGAGGTCCATATCCAGGAGTCCGTACATCCTGCATACCCAATTGAAGGAGTCTACCGTCTACCGTCCATTCCGTGGATGGCAGGATTCCACGTCCATTCCGTGGACGGTAGGATTCCACGTCCATTCCGTGGACAGTCCAACAGGATTCCCCGAGAATCCAACAAACGAGTCACTCGAAGAGACAAGCCTCCACGACCTGGGTGAGATGTGTGAATACGCGAGGTGCCAGATTCAGGCCAAATGGAAGGCTACGAAAGCTTCAGGCAAATGGAAAGTGTGCCGCCTCACCACAAAACCTAACCAGTCCCTGAATCCCGGATGAACTGGGATGTGCCAATACGCGTCCTGGAGGTTCAGAGATATCCAAGCATCCTGCTCCAAGAGAAGCCAGACTTGGGACAGACTGGTCATCCGAAAAGAGGGGCAAAAGATCCAGGGGTTCAGGTGGGACAAGTCCAAAATGAATCACAGATCCACACAGTCTCGTTTCGGGGCTGGAAACGGGAAGAAAAAAGCCACCTGAGGGACACGGTCATGTCATCCACACCCAAGCTCACCCACTCCGAGATGACCCGACTGAACGCAGGGAAAGAGGCCTGCACCGCTAACCCTGAACCCCCTGAAAGAGGAGGAGCCACCCAACACCTTCAGAGGCCGGAACAGACGACCCAAAGCACCCATGAATTGTGGGACCAGGTGTGAGCAAATAGCCCGAGCCTTCCCCCCACTGCCCCGTCAATGGAACGACCCGTAAATGGCTGATGCCTCTTACGAGAAGCCGACCGACGAGCAGAGCAACCACTGCACCAACCAGATGCCGCCGGCTCTGAAACTGGCACTGCTGGCCCACCATGACTAGAGGAACCCCGAACCCTGGGTGACCCTTCCGGGAAGGCCCACCATAGCTCCCCCTACCCAGACAAGTCCAACATGGGATGACAACTAGACGAAGCCACTTGCAGAAACTATGGCAAACTCCGCAAATAGCAACGGACAAAGGGGCGAAGAAAAAGTAAAAGCCAGAGTCCAAGTGGATTCCAAGGAGAGAGCAAGCACACACTGTCGGCACGCAAGGGGAGAAGCAAAAAACAGACACACCACCACCTTGAGAATTCACGCAAACAACTTTAACAAGGCAGCCGACGCCCTAGCCACTGAGGCAAGGGTACCAGACGAAGACCTTGCACCCAGCGCCTCCACATCCTCCTCAAGCAAGTTTTTTTTTATTATTATTTTTTACCACAGATGTGGCCACACATTTACAATGCTAACTAGCATATATACATTTTCTTCTGTCCTCCATGGACAGTCCTCAAGCAAGTCCAAGGACAGCTCAAGAAGGTAAAAGAAATGCAAGACTGAGGCTAAATGCCAATGGGCGCGCAAATCCTCAGCTACCAAAGCAGCTGAAAGGGAGGAAACCTGCACGTGAAGCTGCACAACACCAACATCCCGAGGAAGCACAGGGGCAAGCAGGCAAGTGTTAAGGCACTCAATCTCGCCCCCAGGTAAACCTGTACCTGAGGGTTATCTTGAGATTAACTTTAGATATTTTCAGGGTTTAGCATCCCCACGGCCCAGTCCTTAAGAAGGCTTCCTGTTTGTTACACATCCCCAGGAAGCAGCCCATAGCAGCTATCTAATTCCCAGGTACCTATTTATTGCTAGGTGAACTGAGGATCATACTACATACTGGGATTATAAAGGCATGTGTCATTAACACTTTTGCCCGGGCATGACGCAGCATTGCGTCATCCGTTTACTGCCGGTAATACCGGGGATGACGCAGCATTGAGTCATCCACTTTAAATAATCGCCAAAAATCAGGTTTTTATTTGATTTTTTTGGGACTGGTTTTAAAATGCGCGCCGATGTCTTCCCATTTTCCTTGTTGCACCTCGTGGCCCGCAGGCAGCTTGGCACACCCCGTTGGCGCATTGTTTTCGCTCCACTGTTGTGACCAATGTCGCCTCCCCTCGCATCTCAAACGTGTGGACATTTCGGCTATTTTCCATGGCTATATTTCTTACTGCAGCTTTAGAAATTATCTACACTTACTCCACGATGGATAGTGATCATGAACAAGGCCCTTCCAGGAAGAAAATTGCGAAAGAAAGGCTTGAAAAGGGCGGGAATTGGGAGTGTAGCTGGAAGGCGTCTGAGCGCTCGCTCGCGGCTAACGCGTGGCCCGTCTTCAACTTGTCGGCGGTTGGAGCGTGACCAGGTTTTTTATTTTATATGCAAATGTTCCTCTAGAGAATTCTATTGCGAACCCATTGAGACCAAAATGAAAGACCTAGGACGAAAATTGAGGTGACCAGAGTGAAAATAGTGAAAACATTTTATCGCGTTTGCATACTCCTGCGTAACTCGTTCGCACTTTCTCTGTTTGCTGCGGGTAATTAGCCGGGCTTTTGGAGTTTATATGCATTTAGTGCTATAGAGAATTCTATTGCGAACACAATGATACCAAATTTAATCTCGTAGGACGAGAATTAAGGTGACAAAGTTGAAGAGAGTATGCACTTTTCAAAATTTACGCGCGCTCCCGCGACACCCTGGGACCCAAATCGCATAGTTGAGCGGTGGCGTGCGGGGTACGCCAAAGTGTTAACTAAAATAAGGTCTGGTATTTAAAAAAAAAAAATACTATCCCAAATTCTAAATGACCTTGGTCAAATGCATTTCAGATCTGAAAGACTTGACAGTACAGTACAGTAATTTATTTATTTATTTATACAGTGTATATACAAGAGTTCTTACATTCTTATACAGCCACTAGCATGCATAGCATTTCGAGCAAGTTCTTAATCCTAATTTTCACATACACACACACACACATCCCCAGGAAGCAGCCTGTAACAGCTATCTAACTCCCAGGTACCTAGGTGAACAGATGCATCAGGGCGAAAGAAACTCTACTCATTTGTTTCCGCCTCCGCCGGGAAGGCGAAGAAATGCTGCGCAAAGGCAAGGTGTGAGGGTTATTACTGGTAAATGAACTAAAAAAAACTATAAAAGATTGGAAAGTTGGTTAGAAAACAAATGAGCCTTTTACCTTATAATATTTCCGTATCTCATGTTCAAGTTCTTGACGTCGCTGAGTGTTAAAGCCAGTGTTTGTGCGAGGACGAACACCAGTATACCGTGGATTAGCTTTTACACGTTTATCCAAGATTTCCCGGTCACTTATGGAGAATTTCTTAAGTGAGTTGACAGAATTTGAGCCTGTGACTAAAAACTTTCTTGAATGCATCCTCTGAAAGTGTGACCAGTCAATATAACACTACTGGGCATAAAAGAGGCAGGGGTAAACATAATATTGATAATTGTGATAATAAATCAGAAAGACAAGCAATTTAATGGTGAAAAGTCTAATTCAAAGATTACTTTCCAAACAGCAATGGCTGTGGCAAGTGTGCCAGGGACAGTGTCCTACTAGTTGCTTATACATAACACTAAAGAGGTTTCACATTATACTATGTAATTGTAGGCAAGGTTGCAAATCCTTGTGCAGCATTTCTCAACCTTAGTACCATTTAAATAATTTCGGTTCATACTTTAAACACACATCTTGAGGTTATCTTGAGATGATTTTCGGGGCTTTTTAGTGTCCCCGCGGCCCGGTCCTCGACCAGGCCTCCACCCCCAGGAAGCAGCCCGTGACAGCTGACTAACTCCCAGGTACCTATTTACTGCTAGGTATCAGGGGCATTCAGGGTGAAAGAAACTTTGCCCATTTGTTTCTGCCTCGCGCGGGAATCGAACCCGCGCCACAGAATTACGAGTCCTGCGCGCTATCCACCAGGCTACGAGGCCCCCTCGTAGCCTGGCCCCCACATGCACATATTTTATTTTCAACTGAAAGGAGATGATTCTGTCTTTTGCTTCTGATACTGTTAAAATGAAACCAATTAAACAGAAAAATGACTCAAAATTCCATTTGCATATACAGCACTGTAATTCATACAAGAATTAGCTTATTTATCACTATCTTTAGCAGAACCCATGTTGAGAAATGCTGCCCTAGAGCAACACATTATATGAAAATACTTCATTATGAATTTTAATACTAAAAGTTCATTATCAACATCAACAAATTTAAGACCCTGCATGTGGGGGATAACAACCCATGCCAAGACTACCAAATTAATAGCATTACATTACAGCAGATTGATGAAGAAAAGGACCTTGGAGTTAAAATCCACCACTCATTATAAGTTGCACAACAGGTGAAAGCAGCAATCAGAAAAGCTAACCAAACTCTCTGGACAATCATGCATACTTTGGACTTAAAGGATAAGAAAGTTATGGTTAAACTGTATAAATCTCTGGTGCCAAGTGTACATTTGGATTACTGTATCCAAGCACAGAGACCTCATTTTCAGAAGGACATAGCTGCTCTCAACACATCCTCTGATTAGACAGTACGTTTTAATACTAAATATAATAAGTACATTCCTTATTGTCTGAATAGTACATAAATACACTTAATTGTGCTGTTACATTTACCTCCCCATATATTCTCCTCATTTTCTGTTAAGACATTCAAAATTTTAGGATGAAGTTTTCATGTTCAATTCTATATACACAAATTTTAAATATAAAGAATGTCTTTTTCAGTTTTATTAAACAATAGAGATTTTATACAAAATTTGAAAATATCCAGAGTTAATTTTTTTTTTTTTGATATATATATGAGTTGTTACATTCTTGTACAGCCACTAGTACACGTAGCGTTTCGGGCAGGTCCCTGGAATACGATCCCCGCCGCGAAGAATCGTTTTTACAACCAAGTACACATTTTACTGTTGAGTTAAACAGAGGCTACAGTTAAGGATTTGCGCCAAGTAAATCCTCCCCGGCCAGGATACGAACCCATGACAAAGCGCTCGCGGAACGCCAGGCGAAATCAAATCAAATGTTTATTCAGGTAAAAGTACTTACATAGAGGATTAGTTACAAACATAATGTAGGATTTGTAGATAGAGCTAGTACATACAATACCTAAAGCCACTAGTACGCATAGTGTTTCGGGCAAGGTGGGGAAAAAAAAACACTTAGACTAATACTTAATAGTAATTGAGCTTAAGGTATAAATTGCATTGAAAGAAAAAAAAATAAAAGATAAAAAAGGGGGGAACATGGTAGAAAATAGCTAATAGACAAGTTGGTCAACAAACAGCATTGTTTAAAAATAACAAGACATGGGTTGACATTTAGGAGTAAGGTAGGTTACATGGAGTTAATTCGGTAGTACTTAGTTTTCACCTTAAACTAATTGAGAGGGGGTACAGCCTTTGACATGATTGGGAAGGTCATTTCACATTCTGGGTCCCTTGATTTGTAGAGCATTTCTAGTTTGATCAAGTCGTACTCTTGGAATATTAAATAGGTATTTGTTTCTGGTGTGGTGCCCATGGGTTCTGTTATAACCTTCTAAGAAGTTTTTAAGGTCAGGATTGACATTACAATTCAGAGTTTTAAATATATAGAGTAAACATGAGAGGAAGTGGGTGACTTAATATCTAACATATTCAGAGATTTGAGTAAGAGTACCGAGTGCTGTCTGGGGCCAGAGTTAGATATTGTTCTAATAGAAGCTTTGTGTTGGGTAATTAGAGGACGTAAATGATTTTGGGTAATAGAACCCCAAGCACAAACACCATAGTTGAGGTAAGGATAGATGAGAGAGTAATAGAGCGACACCAGGGCAGGGCGAGGTACATAATATCTGATCTTAGAAAGAATGCCAACAGTTTTAGAAACTTTTTTTGCTATATTTAGAATGGGTCCCTGGAAATTCAGCTTGTTATTGATGAGGACACCAAGGAATTTACCATCAACTTTACTTCTGATTTGTATATTGTTTATTCTTAAATTAATTTCATTTGAGGATTTATTACCAAACAAAATATAGAAAGTTTTGTCAATGTTAAGGGTGAGTTTGTTAGCAGTTAGCCAAAGATGGACTTTATTTAGTTCAGTATTCACAGTGACATTTAGAGCAAGAGGGTCAGGACAGGAGAAAATGAAAGTTGTGTCATCAGCAAATAAGATTGATTTGAGGTGTTGAGAGGCATTTGGAAGGTCATTAATGTAGATGAGAAACAGGAGAGGGCCAAGTATGCTGCCCTGTGGAACACCAATGTTTATGGGTAGTGTAGGAGAAATGGAATTATTCACAAAAACATACTGGAGCCTATCAGTAAGGTAAGACTGAAGGTATTGCAGGGAGTGACCTCTGACTCCATAATGATATAATTTAAGAAGGTTTTGGTGGTTGACAGTGTCAAAAGCCTTACGTAGGTCCACAAGTAACCCGACAGGGAACTCATTTTTATCAAGAGCTGTATGTATCAAGTTAATCATACTAATAAGTGCATCTTTAGTGCTTTTATTGGGTCTGAAACCATATTGGCAAGAGCTAAGTATATTAAGTTTGGCTAGATATGAGTAAAGCTGCTTGTAGATTAGCTTTTCAAATATTTTTGACAAGGTTGGCAGAATTGATATAGGTCTGTAATTGTTGACATTAGCGAGATCACCACATTTGTGGACTGGGGTTACTCTCGCCTTTTTTAGAATACCTGGAAAGGTTTGGAGTTCAAGTGATTTGTTGAAGAGCAATGCAATGACAGGAGCTAGAAATCTGGGGGCTTTTTTTGTAAATTAGAGATGGTATCTCATCAAGGGCGCTTGACTTAGTTTTAACGGAAAGGATTACCTCATTAACATCAGAGGAATTAGCCGCAGCTAGGTACAGAGACTCTGGATAGTTACCTGTAAGGTAGTCTTTAATATTAGTGAGTGAGGATGGAATATCATGAGCAAGGGATGTCCCAATGGATGAAAAGAACCTATTGAATTCAATAGCAGTGTCTGAGGCCAAAAGCACACCATCGTCATTTGACAGAATTGGTTTTTTATTCAAAATCTTTTTTGATCCTAATATTTGGGAGATTGTGCTCCATGTTTTCTTAATGTTGCCCTTTATTTGGGTAAATTTATTTTTGTAGTATTTTATTTTGGCTCATCTAATTATTTTAGACAGCATGGATGAGTAAATCTTAGAAAATTCTTTGGAGACGACTCCTAACCTATACTACTTCTCAAGGTCATGTTTTTTATTAATAGATTTAAGTATACCCTTATATAGCTATACCCTAATATTATACTACCCTTATATACCCTAATATAGCTAAAAGTTAAGTACTAATTGCAATTAAGAAGCAATAAAATGCTTGTCCTCCTACACTAAGAAGGTTAGGTTAGGTCATGGTTTTCTATACAGCTTTTCAGGTAAACTCTAATATTCACAATATTTTGGCGAGATTCTGGCGATTAAGTGTATTTATGTACTAAGCTGGTAGTCAGGATTGTACTTATTACACTTAGCATTTGGTAGTCAGGATTGTACTTATTACACTTAGTATTAATATGTACTGTCTATTTGGAGGAGGGGCTGGCTGCTCTTGAGAAAGTGCAACACCAGGCAACAAAAATCATTCCAGAGCCAAGTCAACTCACGTATCAGGAACGATTGAGGGCCACAGGGCTAACAACACTGTAAACCAGGCATGACAGGGCAGATCTCATTGAAACTTTTAAAATACTGAACAATTTGGAGGCCGTTGAGCCGGACATTTTCTTCAAAAGGTCGGATGTAACCCAAAAAGCAGCAACGGTTTCAAGCCCAACAAGTAGCAATGTAGGACTGAGAACAGAAGATGACTTTTCACCCACAAGGTTATTAACCCATTGAACTGCCTATCTGTTGAACCCGTAAATGCCAAAACCATGTTGAGTTTTAAAATCTACCTGGAAAAAATCAAGGCAAATGGGGGAAACTTCGACAAGCAGCCGGCTTCCTGTCCTCATCGAGGCTACTAGGGTTAGTGACCTCAGGTAAATCTGGCAAATTATTTACTCGATAAACAATTCTGAACTGGTTTTACACTTTCATGCTTGAAGTGCTGTATATTAGTGCCCTGGGCATCGTACAGTTACTAGTCTCATCTAGGAATCTCCACTGTTTTTGCATCTTTAGTGTGTACGTATTTATGTATGTACTGTATATGTGTAATTTTGTCTAAATAAATTATCATCATTATTACTGTACTTTGAAATGGGGTTAAAAATTATCAAATGACAACCTAAAAGCCATCCCAACTTAAAGAAACTATAACAAAAGGTTGTTTTATATATGGTGAGCTCAATGGTCAAAATTGTGATACATTTCCTGGTAACCTCCAACTGGAGCAAAGTATCATGATGTCCACTCTGCATCTGTAATAATAATTAGTTTATATCAAATACATTAGAGAAGACAGAGAAGTATCCACTGGTATACAATGAGAATCCCTTCCTCATCATGACTCCAATGCTCAGCTCCTGTGCCAGGTAAGTCCACTACGGGCTCACCATAGCCCGTGCTACTTGGAACTTGTACCGAGTAGCGGAATCTATAACAACAACTCGTCATGACCAATACCTTCCTGTTGATTCAGAGGCGACGATGACCCATGGATGGAATGCCCGCTGGCGACCCAGATCCTGGAACCTCGAAAAATGGGTCGAGGTCCCCCTACACCTGCAGACGGCGGGGTTGAATGACAAAGTGGAGCGTCTTCTTTACTGCGTAAAAGTTTGTTCTTGCCGATGACTGTACGAGTATTGATGCATCAATCTTGGCGATCAGGGAAGACTACTGTCAAGACGATGTGCGAACTTGGCGGCGATGGTTGTTGTGTTGACTGTGTCAGCTGATCACTTCTATTTCTTGAGTGCATGTTTACGTTTTCTATGGTTAGTTACGCGGGTGATTTGAATTACATTTAGTCACATCTAACCAAGAATTTAAAAAGGGCGATGGGTCACATTTTGCCCAAACCCCCCTGCAGTTTTCAAAATATCCCAAACATCCCAAATTCGATACCTGAGCCATATTTTGGAGCCAAATTCTGGCTTTCTGCACGTATTCGCAGTTTGAAATTCCGACTTTTCATACCGAAAATATGCCAATTACTGAGAGCGACGGTGGGTCACATTTTGCCCAAACCCCATTGCCGTTTTCAAAATATCCCAAACATCCAAAATTCGACACCTGAGCCATATTTTGGAGCCAAATTCTGGCTCTCTGCAAGTATTCGCAGTTTGAAATTCCGAATTTTTATACCGAAAATATGCCAATTACTGAAAGCGGCGGTGGGTCACATTTTGCCCAAACCCCCTGCAGTTTCAAAATATCCCAAACATCCCAAATTCGACACCTGAGCCATATTTTGGAGCCAAATTCTGGCTCTCTGCAAGTATTCGCAGTTTGAAATTCCGAATTTTATACCGAAAATATGCCAATAACTGAAAGCGGCGGTGGGTCACATTTTGCCCAAATCCCCCTGCAGGGTTCAAAATAACCCAAACATCCCAAATTCGACACCTGAGCCATATTTTGGAGCCAAATTCTGGCTCTCTGCACGTATTCGCAGTTTGAAATTCCGAATTTTTATACCGAAAATATGCCAATTACTGAAAGCGGCGGTGGGTCACATTTTGCCCAAACCCCCCTGCAGTTTTCAAAATATCCCAAACATCCCAAATTCGACACCTGAGCCATATTTTGGAGCCAAATTCTGGCTCTCTGCACGTATTCGCAGTTTGAAATTCCGACTTTTTATACCGAACAAATGCCAATTACTGAAAGCGGTGGTGGGTCACATTTTGCCCAAACCCTCCTGCAGTTTTCAAAATATCTTAAACATCCCAAATTCGATACCTGAGCCATATTTTGGAGCCAAACTCTGGCTCTCTGCACGTAATCTCAGTTTGAAATTCCGAATTTTTTTTACAAAAATATGCCAATTACTGAAAGCGGTGGTGGGTCACATTTTGCCCAAATCCCCTTGCAGTTTTCAAAATATCCCAAACATCCCAAATTCGACACCTGTGCCATATTTTGGAGCCAAACTCTGGCTCTCTGCACGTATTCGCAGTTTGAAATTCCGAATTTTTTTTACAAAAATATGCCAATTACTGAAAGCGGTGGTGGGTCACATTTTGCCCAAATCCCCTTGCAGTTTTCAAAATATCCCAAACATCCCAAATTCGACACCTGTGCCATATTTTGGAACCAAATTCTGGCTCTCTGCACGTATTCGCAGTTTGAAATTCCCAATTTTTATTCCGAAAATATGTCAATTAATCAAAGTAGCGGTGGGTCAGATTTTGCACAAACCCCCCTGCAGTTTTCGAAATATCCCAAACATTCCAAATTCGACACCTGAGCTACATTTTGGCGCTAAATTCTGGCTCTCTGCAAGTATTCGCAGTTTGAAATTCCTACTTTTTATATTGAAAATATGGCAATTACTGAAAGCGGCTGTGGGTCACATTTTGCCCAAACCCCCCTGCAGTTTTCAAAATATTCCAAACATCCCGAATTCAGTACCTGAGCCATATTTTGGAGAAAATTTTGGCTCTCTGCACGTATTCGCAGTTTGAAATTCCGACTTTTTATACCGAAAATATGCAATTACTGAAAGCGGCGGTGGGTCACATTTTGCCCAAACCCCCCTGCAGTTTTCAAAATATCATAAGCATCCCAAATTGAATACCTGAGCCATATTTTGGAGCCAAATTCTGGCTCTCTGCAAGTATTCGCAGTTTGAAATTTCGAATTTTTATTCCGAAAATATGCCAGTTACTGAAAGTGGCGGTGGGTCACATTTTGCCCAAACCCCCTTGCAGTTTTCAAAATATCCCAAACATACCAAATTCGATACCTGAGCCATATTTTGGAGCCAAATTCTGGCTCTCTGCACGTATTCGCAGTTTGAAATTCCGAATTTTTATTCCGAAAAAGCCAATTACTGAAAGCGGCGGTGGATCACATTTTGCCCAAACTCTCCTGCAGTTTTCAAAATATCCCAAACATCCCAAATTCGATACCTGAGACATATTTTAAAGCCAAATTCTGGCTCTCTGCACGTATTCGCAGTTTGAAATTCCGAATTTTTATACCGAAAATATGCCAATTACTGAAAGCGGCTGTGGGTCACATTTTGCCCAAACCCCCCTGCTATTTTCAAAATATCCTAAACATCCCAAATTCGATACCTGAGCCATATTTTGGACCTAAATTCTGGCTCTCTGCACCTATTCACAGTTTGAAATTCCGAATTTTTATACCAAAAATATGCCAATTACTGAAAGCGGTGGTGGGTCACATTTTGCCCAAACCCCCCTGCAGTTTTCAAAATATCCCAAACATTCCAAATTCGATACCTGAGCCATATTTTGGACCCAAATTCTGGCTCTCGGCACTTGTTCGCAGTTTGAAATTACGACTTTTTATACCAAAAATATGCAAATTACTGAAAGCAGTGGTGGGTCACATTTTGCCCAAACCTCCCTGCAGTTTTCAAAATATCCCAAACATCCCAAATTCGATACCTGAGCCATATTTTGGAGCCAAATTCTGGCTCTCTGCAGGTATTCGCAGTTTGAAATTCCGAATATTTATTCCGAAAATATGCCAATTACTGAAAGCGGCGGTGGATCACATTTTGCCCAAACCCCCCTGTTGTTTTCAAAATATCACAAACATCCCAAATTCGATACCTGATACATATTTTAGAGCAAAATTCTGGCTCTCTGCAAGTATTCGCAGTTTGAAATTACGACTTTTTATACCGAAAATATGCCAATTACTGAAAGTGGCGGTGGGTCATATTTTGGCTAACCCCCCCCTGCAGTTTTCCAAATATCCCAAACATCCCAAATTCGTACCTGAGCCATATTTTGGAGCGAAACTCTGGCTCTCTGCACGTATTCGCAGTTTGAAATTCCGAATTTTTTTTCCAAAAAATATGCCAATTACTGAAAGTGGCGGTGGGTCACATTTTGCCCAAACCCCCCTGCAGTTTTCAAAATATCCCAAATATCCCACATTCGACACCTGAGCCTTATTTTGAAACCAAATTCTGGCTCTCTGCACGTATTCGCAGTTTGAAATTCCGAACTTTTATTCCGAAAATATGCCAATTACTGAAACCGGTGGTGGGTCACATCTTGCACAAACCCCCCTGCTGTTTTTGGAAATATCCCAAACATCCCAAATTCGATACCTGATACATATTTTAGAGCCAAATTCTGGCTCTCTGCACCTATTCGCAGTTTGAAATTCCGACTTTTTATACAAAAAATATGCCAATTACTGGAGCCGGTGGTAGGTCACATTTTGCCCAAACCCCCCTGCAGTTTTCAAAATATCCAAAACATCCCAAATTTGACACCTGTGCCAAATTTTGAAGCAAAATTGGTTTGGGCAAAATATGACCCATCGCCGTTTTCAGTAATTGGCATATTTTCGGTATGAAAAGTCGTAATTTGAAACTGAAAATAGGTGCAGAGAGTCAGAATTCGGCTCAAAAATCACGCTCAGGAGTCAAATTTCCGACATTTCAGACATTTTGAAAACTGCAGGGGGGTTTGGGCAAAATATGACCCATCGCCGTTTACAGTAATTGGCATATTTTCGGTATAAAAAGTCGTAATTTGAAACTGAAAATAGGTGCAGAGAGTCAGAATTCGGCTAAAAAATCACGCTCAGGAGTCAAATTTCCGACATTTCAGACATTTTAAAAACTGCAGGGGGGTTTGGGCAAAATATGACCCATCGCCGTTTACAGTAATTGGCATATTTTCGGTATGAAACGTCGTAATTTGAAACTGAAAATAGGTGCAGAGAGTCAGAATTCGGCTCAAAAATCACGCTCAGGAGTCAAATTTCCGACATTTCAGACATTTTGAAAACTGCAGGGGGGTTTGGGCAAAATATGACCCATCGCCGTTTTCAGTAATTGGCATATTTTCGGTATGAAACGTCGTAATTTGAAACTGAAAATAGGTGCAGAGAGTCAGAATTCGGCTCAAAAATCACGCTCAGGAGTCAAATTTCCGACATTTCAGACATTTTGAAAACTGCAGGGGGGTTTGGGCAAAATATGACCCATCGCCGTTTTCAGTAATTGGCATATTTTCGGTATAAAAAGTCGTAATTTGAAACTGAAAATAGGTGCAGAGAGTCAGAATTCGGCTCAAAAATCACGCTCAGGAGTCAAATTTCCGACATTTCAGACATTTTGAAAACTGCAGGGGGGTTTGGGCAAAATATGACCCATCGCCGTTTTCAGTAATTGGCATATTTTCGGTACAAAAAGTCGTAATTTGAAACTGAAAATAGGTGCAGAGAGTCAGAATTCGGCTAAAAAATCACGCTCAGGAGTCAAATTTCCGACATTTCAGACATTTTGAAAACTGCAGGGGGGTTTGGGCAAAATATGACCCATCGCCGTTTTCAGTAATTGGCATATTTTCGGTATGAAACGTCGTAATTTGAAACTGAAAATAGGTGCAGAGAGTCAGAATTCGGCTCAAAAATCACGCTCAGGAGTCAAATTTCCGACATTTCAGACATTTTGAAAACTGCAGGGGGGTTTGGGCAAAATATGACCCATCGCCGTTTTCAGTAATTGGCATATTTTCGGTATAAAAAGTCGTAATTTGAAACTGAAAATAGGTGCAGAGAGTCAGAATTCGGCTAAAAAATCACGCTCAGGAGTCAAATTTCCGACATTTCAGACATTTTAAAAACTGCAGGGGGGTTTGGGCAAAATATGACCCATCGCCGTTTTCAGTAATTGGCATATTTTCGGTATGAAACGTCGTAATTTGAAACTGAAAATAGGTGCAGAGAGTCAGAATTCGGATCAAAAATCAC